CCTGACTTGTCCAGAGCCAGATGCGTAGCCGCCGAGCCTCTGGCCCCTGGCGTGGCAGCTCATGGACAGCAGAGTGGAAGCCGGCAGAACTCTCTGTCATCTTCTAGGGCTAAGTGGACAAGGAGGGTGGACTTTTCACAAATCACGGTGAGGGCTTCCCTGGTGGCACAGTGGTTAAGAACCCGCTTGCCAATGCAAGGGACACAGGTTCGAGCCCTGGTCCGGGAAGATCCCACATGGGGTGGAGCAACTAAGCCTGTGCACCAAAACTACTGAGCCTGCGAGCTACAACTACTGAAGCCCGCGCGCCTAGAGCCTGTGCTCCACAACAAGAGAAGCCACCACAGTGAGAAGCCAGTGAACCGCAACAAAGAGTAGCCCCCATTTGCCACAACTAGAGAAAGCCCGTGCGCAGCAACGAAGACCCAACGCAGCCATAAATAAATAAATTTATATTTAAAAAATCGTGGTGAGGTGAGTCATCTTTTCTCAGTGAAGAATCTCTTCCATTCCTCTGGAGCACCCTTCACCTATATATTCCTTCCCCAGTGCATCTTCTGGTCAGTACACACTGTGTACATCCCCAAGGCTGGGACAGGAGAGCGATGCTGATTCACCGAATCGTCAAAACGTGTTTCCTGATGGCTGAATCGTGGCCAGACCTTTCCCTCCACTGTTTGCCCTTCTCAAAGTCCTTGATCAAAAAAGAAAGGACCGGGCTTCAAAATGGCTCGTTCAAGAATGAAAGAATGCGATTCTATAGCCTTGTCTCTTTGAACTCAGTGGGCTGAAGTCTTTGTTAAAATTTTATTGGTTACCATTTGGGTAAGAGTGAAATTGCTGAAAATCTGACTGTTTGAGATATGCTTGTATACACAGGCGGCAGATAAAATTATCCAGATGAATTTAAGGGCGCTTTGGTTTTTAGTACAACACACTCAGTCCACCTGTGCTTGTCTTGAGTTGGGCTGTAGGGAGTGCAGAGCAGCAACCACAGAATTGAGTTCAGGTTCCCTTCTGCCACTTACTTCCCCTGGGATCTTAGTTAAGGGGCTTAATCTCTATGGAACTGAGGTTCTTCATCTCTAAAATGGGTCGGTAATTATCACCTTGGGTTCAGTGTGATAACATTTATAGTGTAACTAGTATAGGACTTAAATGTGATAGCTTAAAAATATCAACACTTATTAAGCATCTACTATACACCTTGGGCTTCTGTGCCTGACTCTCGGGCCATAGTTCACATTGTAACCATCAGAGATTTGTGCATTTATTAGGACAGTTTCCCCCCTTCCTCCCTAGGGCAGAAGATAAAATGTTTTGAGGAAAGTATACTGTCTCAAAATTCACACAAAGGCACCCATGCAGTCGAGGAAAGTCTGGGTCCATGGTGATCATGACAAAAATGATCATCTAACTTGAAAAGGCAATGTTGAAACTCAAAAATATCGCAGTGGTTGACAGTCGAGTCTGTGAGGCCACGGAGGGAGAAGAAAGCATTCCTCACAGAATGAAAAGCTACGGCAACTCAGCAGTAATGGTGATATTAAAACAAGTCCACAAATTCTTTGATCTTTCTTCCTTTAAAAGGTGGCGCCTCATTCTCCTCTCCATGAGTGTGTCTGCATTTACACTCTCCTGATGAGCTGGGCACGGTGCAGGTGTGTGACTTAGGATGCCAGATCACCAAAGGCACTGTGGCTTCCTCCCTGCTTTCTCAGGTCACTCCCTCTGGGGGAAGCCAGATGCCGTGTTGCAAGGACTCTTGCCAACACCATGTGAGCCGTCTTGAAAGCAGATCTTCTAGCCTTGGTCAAGCCTTCAGATGATGCAGCCCTGGCTGACATCTTGTCTGTAGTCTAACCAGACACCCTGAGCCAGAACCAACTGGCTACGCCACTCCAGGATTCCTGATCCACAGAAACCAAGGTAATAAATATTTATTGCCTTAAGTTGCCGAGTACTGGGGAAATTTGTTACGCAGCCATAGGTCACGGATGCAGTGGTAAAACGTCCCCAGTGGAAACTTCTCTTTGGTTGGAGCCTGGAGGCCTAGGCTGGGTGGCTGAAGGGGACACAGAAGATGAGGTCTGAGAGGGAAATGCCCGACTTTCTCTGTCAAAAAGTTAGGATTTATCCTATCAGCGACTTATTCAAGCTGGAGGATGTTTTTGCATAGAGGAGTGACATCGTCAGAGTTGATTTTGATATCCCTGGCATGAAATGGCATGAGAAGAGGCTGGTTGTGGGGAGGGGGAATTCCAGTTAGAGAGTTCTAGGAACAACAGTCCAGTTAAGAGAAGATGAGAGCCTGAACTATGGCAATGGCAGAGGCAGTGGATACGGGAGGACTGTCTTAAGACATGGTGGTTTGAAAAAAGAAACGACCAGTCTCCAGAGCCATCTAATGCAATCCTGTGTCACTCTGCACTGTGTGGGGTAATAAAAGTGGGCTGAACTATATTACAGCCGTATATTCACACCAAAGTATCATCACACACACACACACACTCAAGATACTTAATCCCATGAGCTACAAAAGTGAGCCTTTTGCAAAGAGGACTTCACAATTAGGAAATGTCTTACTCTCAAGATTTAATATTAAGCATTTGAAATTGTCCTTTATAGAAACTCTAATTTCAAGAACAAAAAGAAAATAATGAACTCCCATCTTCCATAGGAACCCAAAGCCTCACATTTGTCCATGGTATAAAGAGGCCCCAGAAGATTAGACTGAACTATAGTGGGGTGATTTATAGCTCTGTTGGAACACAGATTAAAGGTGGTTTTGAAGTGTTGGGAGATTCAAACAAAATCAGCATAGGCAGGGATATTAAATTCGTCAAGTACTCATCTCCCCCCAAAACCAGTTACCTTAGGAAAATAACATCTATCTTTAGTATTTCAATAGCCCCAGAAAGAGATGGATATATAAATGCTAAGCCGTGAATATTTTAAATGGCCACATTTCTATCCAAATGGTGAGGGAAAAAAACGTGTGTGTATATAAAAATATAAAACTTTCATCCTATTATCTTGAATGCATTGTACTATCACCACTCAGAGCAGTATTTCAAAGTCTTTCTTATGGAAAGTAGAGCTCTAGTTGAACTAGAAGTTAAGCAGAGAACCAAAAAAATTCAAAACCAGTGGAGAGTCATGGAACCAAATTTGATTTTCAAAAGGAAAACGTTTGTGAACGGTAAGAGTTGGGAATCATATCGTTTGTTTCTGAAACTTTAAAAATAATCCTTTCTTTTACTTTTACATGTTATATGGAACTTTAAAAGAAATGTTAATCTTCAAATAACTTGATTCATTAAATACCTGTTGAATACTCAATGTCCTAATAACAGGAGGTAAGACATGTCCATTGAGAGGAATGATTCTTCTCTTAAAGTAAAAGTGAAAATCTAAGTTCCTTGAGGCAACACTGTGTTGTTGACCACAGCATCCCAGGTCAACGGTGAGGCCTGAAAAGGGAATCACTGAACGAACGCCCCTTTGAAAGAGGAATGGATGAATGAATGAATGAGTGGACCAGTGTCTGAACACATGTAATGTTAATGACATTGGACTTGTACAAATAAGAACAAGGCTATACATTTCAAAAGTATGTCTCTACCGTCAGAACTCACAAATATTTACAACTGAAGAGTTTGGTGGAAGATGTGAAAAATTCTGATGTTTAAGAAAAGATGAAAATGCTGAAAGTGTGAACTAAGTAAAGCGGCAGCAGCGTATCTTAGGAACCTCGATGCAACTATTTTAGCAAAACGCACACAATGCAGAACACGGCTGTTCAGAATAACTGTGTCATGGTGAAAATAACTTAATGAAATGCTGCTCCTTCAAGACCATCGAAAATCTGCTTCTGGCTCACGGTCCAAGGTGAAAATTCCATGGAGGGAGCAAAGGAAGGGACAAAGAAACCACCACCATGAGTGCCTGCACCAGAGCTATTTATTAGAGTAACTTTTCCTTTTTTTCTTCTTTTTTTCTTCATAACAATTGAAGTATGTACAAAGTCTTACAGCATTTACACCGTAGAAAGTGTCCTATTAGCTGATGAAGCCTAAGGCAGTGCTGCTGGGAGCTCCAGAGCGTGTCTACAAGAGCAAGGAAGCTGGGCACTGTAGGTGGACCTCTCTGCTACAGCAGCTGACGGACTCCTAACTAGACCACCTGGAGGACAGGTTATGGGGAAAAGGAACAAGCTGATATGCAGCTCTAGGGACCACAGGCTCTTAAAGCTACCTAGAGTTGTGTTTCTCGTTACCTAGAGCGTAACAAAGGTCCACAGCCTGACGGATTAACATATGCGCGAGGGCACGGTCGTGCTGCTCAGATCTGGTTCAGCTACCAAAGGTATTGACTTGTGAATGGGAGGCTCTATACCGATATGGCTGGTATTTCCGTTTGTGTTCATGTCTTCAGATAGCTCCCACCTGCCCAAGCCCCACTCCCCTCTCCCTTTATCAACAACAACAAAGGGAGGGAAGAGAATCCGCATGGGATTAGTTCTTGACCAAAAAACAAACAAAAGAAAACAAAAGACATTCAGTATCAGCTCTAGGGTGGCCATTCTGTCAAAAGATTAACAGTGGAAATTTCTGAATCAACCTAAATCAGAACAATATTAACAAACCCCGCCAACACCCAACCTCCGGATTTAATCACCTTCATTGATTGTCTTTCCTTGGGGTCAGCATTACACAGAACCACCAACATTTACACACCAAATCGGACACAAAACGTACATAGCACCGCCGCCCCAACCCTTACTTGAGTACGTGATGAGCGGATGTCAATACCTACATGATTAACACCAGGGTCCCCACTTTCTTCCTCAGAAAGCCCAGCCCGGTTCTCTCTTGGGTCAGTCACTGTCTGTTTGGTAAGCAGACCCCATTTATTTTCCCACTGTTTCGGTCTCCAGTGTAGGCAGATTGGCTTTTTTTTTTTTTTTATTTCAAAAAGATGCTACTCCCAACTTAAAAGCCAGTGGATAAAACTTTTAATTAAGACACCATAGCGCGGGATATAAAAACACAGGAACCACATAAATATTGAAGAAGTTGTATACCGTTTTCCTTGTAAACAGTTTTGCTGAAGATTGAAGCCCTAGTGTGAATCTGGCCTGGGACTTTTGGCGGATGGCGAGCGATCGGCCAGGTTCTGCAGCGATGGTGGCCGAGGACGCCAGGTCAGTCCCCATGTTGGCGGGCATGCAACTTGAAAGACATTGCACAACAAGCAACACAAAGAGAGTGGAGAAGCTCACAACACTGCAAGGAGACCTCACAACCTCCATGACTGCCGAGGCACGGACAGAGACCCCCCTCCCTCCGCTGCGCGCGCTTCCTCTTACACGTGGGACACCTTCTGCGACTCTCTGGCTTGTTTGATGCTATACAACCACTTGATGATGCGAGCGTTTCTCTCGATCGCGGAGATGCCGTAGGGCACCCGGTCGTTGGCACTGTCATCGTTTCTGAGGTCGCTGTTACTGTCCTGAGACTGTTCACAGTCCGAGCTGATCATGCTGGCGCTGCGGAAGTTGAGGGAGACGATGTCGGAGTTGGCGCGGGCGAAGTTCTCCATGCCCAGGGTTTCCAGCTCCTCGGGGTCCAGTCCGCAGTAGTTGAAGAAGCGCTCCACGTCGGCGTCCACCCGGAAGTACCTGTCGCTCAGGTCCGACTTGGACCGCTGGAGCGAGGGTCTCCGGCCCACCCCGCAGGCCGGCTCGGCCGCCTCGGCCTCGGGGGACCTGACCGCGGCCGGGGCGGCGACCTTGGGCTTGGGGGGCAGCGGCGGGGCGGAGCTGCTGCAGGGGATGGCCTTCAGGGGCTTTGCGCCCGTCACCTTGCGGATGTCCGAGGAGCTGTGCGACACGTGCAGGAAGGAGTCGGGCGCGGGCTCGAGCGGCCGCCGGCCCACGTGCGAGCCGCCCTCCTGCGGGCTGCCGCGGCCGGGCGTGGGGCGCACGCGCAGCGACTCGGCGAACGAGTGCCGGTGCAGCTCGGCCGCGTCGGCGCGCGGCGCCGGCCAGTTCCGCGCGCCGTGCTTGTGGCCTGAGCCCGCGCTCGAGCCCTCCGAGCTGTTGAGGATGTTCTTGAGGATCTCGAGCTTCAGGGTCTCGCGCGGCGCGCCGCCCTCGCTCTTGGCGCCGCCGCCGAAGCCCTTGAGCGTGGGGCTGCCGAGCGCGCGCTTGGCGCCCGGGCACACGGGGGGCTTGGCCAGCACGGCCGGCTTCACGGGCTCCTGCTTGGCGTTGATGACCTCCTGGCTCTTGACGTACTTGGCCTTGTCGGCCTCCAGCCGCTCCACGGCGCTGAGTCGCTTGGGGTTGGGCTCCGCCTGCCGGCGAAAGTAGTCGGGCCCCTTGTTGAGGATGCGCAGGGGCACGGCCGACGTGAAGGTGCCGGCGGGGCTGACCGGCTTCACCATGCTACCTGTCTGTAGGCTCTCCGTGGGCATGGCGGGCGCTCTCTCCCCGGCGGCCGTGGTGGATGCTCGTCTGCGCGCCTCCGGATGCGCCGGGCAGACACATGTGCGGGCGGCACAAAGGGCAGCGGACGGTCCGGAACCGAGTGTCAGCGGCGGCGGCGGCGGCAGCAGCAGCAGCAGCGGCGGCAGCGCCTCATCTCCCGGCTCGTTCACCGCCCCGTGGCTTTAGTTTCCTCGCCGCCTCGCCGGCCGCCCGGTGCGGAAAGGCCCCAAGCCCCAAGTTCCTTTCAGCTGCTTCGCCGCCTCCTTTCTCCTCCCCGAAGGATGTGGGAGTCTCCTCCAGGTCTTTGTGTTCGACTGCAGGCAGAGCTGAAACACACAACAACCAACCGCGGGTTAGGATGGGCGAGTGACATCACGGCTGCAGCAACGGCGGAGCCGCGCGCCCCCGCCCCAGGGCACCCCGCCGCCCGCCCGGGAGGGAGGCGATCCCGGCGGCCGCACGAGGCCCGCGCCCCGCGCTCGGAGAAAGAGCGGCAGAGGGTTCCCACGCGCCACCTCCTCCCGCCGCCTTCCCAGCGGGGAGACCCGCCTCCCGATCACGCCCGGCTGGCATCACTTATACCCAAACCCCGGAAACACTAGACGAGTGCAGAAATGCGGGTCGTTCCCAGTTCATGAAATGCCAGTGGGTTCCTGAGAATCCCTTTGCTGCTTTAGGCTACAGCATCGGTGACGTCTAATATGCCTCTTTTGCAATGAAGCAAACCTTCAGACTTCTATCAATCTCTCCTAACACTTCAACAAGCACCCAACTCTTCAAAAACTGAAAGGATGGGCAAGAAACGGCAGTAGACACGAAAATATTTTTTAAAAACTCAACATGTTTATCTTATTTTTGCCAACCAATATATTTGAAAACACATTCTCCTGCGCATGGAATGTGTATGAAGTTCAACCCATTAAACACAGGCTTATTTTTTAACTAAAACTAACAAAAACCAAACAAAAAGCCTAGCAATACTTCTAGATCAACCATATAAATAGAAACTCTGATTATAAATGCTCCACAAATTTTTCACACAATGAGCAGAATCAAGTTCCTTTGTGGTATGTATTTTCCCAGATCCCCTAAAGAACTAAGAAGACAATCTTAAGGTGTCAATCATACCTAAATATGTTACTTTATGGAAAACTTGTATAATAGGGAAGCATTCGTGGGGCTTATTTTATGGCTTTCTGAACAACTTGACTCCCTCATCCCCCACCCAAGCCCACTATGAGGAAACACTCATCAATACTCCCAATATAAATCTTGAGGGAGGCTTTCTACTTAGAGCATAACACAGTGAAACATTTGTCTCTGCAGCCCTCTGAAGTCCAACCACCTCTCTGCCCGTCACTGCTGGCAGAGAGCACTGATGCACGCATCAGCCTTCCAAAGCACTGGCGAAAGACCTTTTCAGCACCTCTGGTTGTAACTAGGAGTGTTAAGAGAATAATGTAGTCAACTAACTTGTCAAATAACTAATTTACAAAATAAAGCGGTATCACTATGAAATGATCTGCTCTCAGGGGAAGAAAATGAAGTGTCTTAAAATAAGCTTGGGGCCGGGGGCTCATATTTTTCCTTCACATCTTTTAAAACTCTTAATCTCTAAGTACACCCATCGTCGTGTTTTGTTAGAGACCATTTTGGTAATCTGCAAAAGGATTCGTTCTAATAAAAATATTTTCCTATGCAAGATGTCAGAAGCCCCAAGGTAATTCCTCCGTAATGATTTCTTTTAATTGTGCGGTTCTATTAATGATACTTCCATTTAGTTGAAAAAATCACCTCCTCTCATGAAGATGAAGTAAGATTGTTTCTTTGAACATATTCTGAATGAAATACCAGAGGAGGAGTGAGGATTCCTCTGCAGATCCTCAGGTCTGCTCATCCACTACCCTGGGTACATCTCACCCGGAGGACAAGCCTGGTCCTCCAGGAGGGGGCTGGAGCCCAGGCCCTGAGGCAACCCCGCTGGATCACCCCCAGGGCACCTGAGAGCCCCCAGGATAGGCCTTGTTTCTCCCGAGCGCATATAACATCTTCACTGGTTACTTCTGCAGCTTCCAAAATGTGTCCACGGAGGGGACAGTGCCAGAAGGTTCAGGGGCAGAGTGAAGGACACCACGTAAATCTGTGCCTGTGACCGTTGCGCCTAAGGACAAGGGCAAACCTCCAGCAAGTGGGAAGATCGCCCAGTGGGTGGCAGGAGGTAGAGCCTCTACCCCTTCCCCTGGGGCCTTCGGTCCTCATCTGTGACAGGAGTGCTTGGACGAGATTCCCTCTAGTCCTTCTCCCTCTAAAAGCACGTGGCCCTGAGGGGCTAAGGACCAGTGAGTTATTTCCAGTTTCACAAAAGGCCCATGGGAATACTGGCCTGTGAACTCTTCTATGCTCCCGGCATTCACTGTTCTTAGGAGAAGGCTCTTCACATGATGAGGTGTAGTTATCACGTGACGGTCACTGGCGGTAAAGCTCACGCTGGCCCGCACGACCCTGTTCTTTTCGAATTCCATCGTATTAGGACCGGAAGCCCCAAACGGCCACCGCTACTGACCGACTTTCCAGTGTGCCGAGCTGTCTGTCCAGGGGGACTTTGGTGCCGCTCAGAACGAAATGAAAGTCATCTCTCTGCACTCTCAGGACCAAGGACTCCCAGGCTACTTTCTAGGAAGCATTTCCCGGGAAGCTCGTCTTCCTTCCGCCCTGCTTTCTGTCTTCACAGAAAAGAAGGCCTGAGAATGGGTGAACAGGGGCCAGAGCCAGAGGACGGCCCCTCCAAGCACCCCCACTGTGCACGCCATCCACCTGAGGAAGCAGTCGCTATCCCAACCACTGCGCCACCAGGGAAGCCCAGAAAAACAGTAATCATTTGTAACTAATTTACACTCCATTTCCTTTCTGATTCTACCCCTCTTCCGTCTGTCTTTCCTTTGTCATTCCCAATTTCCCTAATAACTGTCAACAGACTGCTGATGTTTAGAAATGACCGTGGTCACAGCTGAAAAGTTCTAATTTAAACTCCCGAAGGTGGGGAGGAAAGCGTCTTATTAGAAGGCTTGAAAGCCACGGAAAAAGCTGTAGGAACTGGTTGGGTGCTACAGGATAATAATACGGTACAGTTGATGTTTTCTACCTGTTTTAGCCAATGCACTACTTCAAAAATAATAAAGGTGGCAAAGGATGCTCCTTCTCTTAATTGTGACATAATCCTTAACTTCTGCTCTTTTAGTTGGGTTTTTTTTTTTTTTTGCAGTACGCGGGCCTCTCACTGTTGCGGCCTCTCCTGTCGCGGAGCACAGCTCCAGATGCGCAGGCTCAGCGGCCATGGCTCACGGGCCCAGCCGCTCCGCGGCATGTGGGATCTTCACGAACAGGGCCACGAACCCGCGTCCCCTGCATCGGCAGGCGGACTCCCAAGCACTGCGCCACCAGGGAAGCCCTGCTCTTTGGCTTTTTGATGTTCAAACAGTGTTGGCTGGGACGGAGCTGTACAGACCCACCCAGAGTTTTGGAGTGTAGACTTTGGTGCGATGCAGACCAGGTACTTTCAAGACACCTGGAAACCTGGAGCTACATCATGATGTCACAAATGTGATAACCATGGCCTGTGTTCAGGGAGCACCAGGCACACGGTCCTCTGCTGATGGCAGCCTTGCCCAGGCCCCTGACATCAGGACAGTCCTGGGCATTGGTGGGAGCAGGCCTGAAGGGGCCTCTATGCCTCTTCATCTTGTTTCAGAAAACTTCGACCTCAGCCACGTGAGGTTTCATCAACAGAAGTAATTATCCAGCCCTACTTGATCCCTGATGGAGGGCTAAGGAGAGAGAACACAAGCCTGAGGGAAGCTTCCATTCACAGACCATTTTGCCTACATTCTACCCCACTGAATATCCATTTAAAAATTTCATGAAAGCATAAAACGGATTGAAGAAAAAAATGTGGCAGGACTGACAGAGCGACCCTCTGAGTCAGGGCAACATGAACTCAACAGCAGCCTGGGGGGTCATTGTGGGCAGAGCTCCCCCAGCAGCTCCTTCCCGATGGAGGACCAGGGCCAGAGGGGTCATGTTATCTGCATGGGGAGGGCTGATGGGGCACAGAGCCAGCCAGGGGCAGAGGACACAGGGGCAAAGACACGGTGACTCCTGCTGGCTCTAGGGATGCCTCTCAAGCTTGAATGTGCCTGTGCATGCGGGGATCTGCTGGACACCCCAGACTCTGCATTTCTCACCAGACCCCAGGTGATGCCCGGGAAGCTGGTCCAGCCTTTGAGTGGCAAGAGGAAATGGAAAGAATCTCACCCCTGTACCAGCGAGCATCAGAGTCGGTGCTAGATGCTGGCACGGAGAATGTGTCTTGTCTCTTACATGAGTAAAAGTCTGGGGCTTTGGGACATGGAAACAGCAGTCCCAGAGAACTGAAACTTCCCAAACCAAGGTGGCCTGGATCCGTCTAACTTCAAATCTGCCAGCTGCTCATGGGGGCAGCTAGGTAGAGACCAGGACCTGGGCTGACGGGCGGCACTGGGGAGACCCAGCACGCTGGTCTCAGGGCATTTACAACCCTGGGGGCAGTGAGGGATAGAAAGTGAGCCGCCGTACACACAGTTTATGTGAAAAAGGCTTAAAGCCAATTTCCTGTAACCCAGGCAACGTGAGCCTCGGTGCCTCTGAGGTCAGTCGGATCACGGTGGCTGTGGCCTGTGTGAAGGGGCCTCCAGATACGGGGCTGCCGCGGGGAATGGCTTTCACAGTTGACACAGCAAACCCAGATTTCTGTGTGGTGTCTCTTGATTTTAAGATTCAATCATAGAAAACACCGTGGGCCATGTGCTTCTGGTAAAGAGAAACGGACAATTAACGCCTAATTGATCTTTACATTCCGGGCAGGACGAGAGTCCTGCAGTTACAGCAAAGCACCCTGGGAATGAACATAATCCCAGATTCACCCGTAGAAGTTTCTCAAATATGTGAAAACTGGTCATTTCTCATGTGTTATGGCAGAAAAAAGGTGAAAATACTGCTTTAAAGAGGGAGTCTGACTAATTCCATTCTGAGTCACCTAAAATCTCGGTGTCTGGATCTCATCTATGAAAATGAATGTGCTGAATTCGGTGAGCTTGAAAATGCTTTCCGCTCAAACATTCTTTTTTTTTTTTTTTTGGCTGCGTTGGGTCTTCGTTGCTGCTCACAGGCTTTTCTCTAGTTGCGGCGAGTGGGGGCTACTCTTCGTTGCGGCTCTCATTGCGGTGGCTTCTCTTATTGCGGAGCACGGGCTCTAGGTGTGTGGGCTTCAGTAGTTGTGGCTCGCAGGCTCAGTAGTTGTGGCTCACGGGCTCTAGAGCGCAGGCTCAGTAGTTGTGGCGCACGGGCTTAGTTGCTCCGCGGCATGTAAGATCTTCCCAGACCAGGGCTTGAACCCGTGTCCCCTGCATTGGCAGGTGGATTCTTAACCACTGCACCACCAGGGAAGCCCCACTCAAACACTCTTGGAGACAAAGAGCAAAAGAAGCAATTTACCTTTGAGGTTAATAAGAGCTCTGGAAGAACCAATTCTTCTAGTTTCAGATCACAAAACATTTACAATCTGGGCAAACTTGTCGCATGTTGCTTTCTAATTTTGGGGGGAACAGCATCTGTGCTTACTGACTTTAGCCGTAAGATTCCAACTTGACTGGGTCCACCTTCTTAACTGTATTCTTGGTTTATCCCATTTAAGAGCAGAGGAACCTCCTTATAATTGAAGTAAGAATGCAGTCTCAGGTGACACCGTTAACTTTTGAATTCTTTACAAATGTAAGAGAAAAGCACTCAAAATCGAAGAGTGCTGAATCTAATTCAGCTTACTGAGTTGTGGGCTGGGTTGAATCAATCGATTAGTACCTAGTGACTGAGCAATTATGTGTAAGATGTAAAGAAACAGGAAAGTTATGGCAATTTAGAAAAAAATATTCAAAATACATACAGTGAATATTAATTAAATAATGTTGATCAGTGTGGCAGGACTGTCACAACGCACTTCCCCACCAACCGCTTCTCGGGAGTCAGACGGCAGAGCAGGAGGCAAGAACCGGAGCAAAGGCACGGACACGGGGCTTCCATCCTCAGGGAAGCTCTCCACTGAGTTCGTGGTTCGTTCAAGAAACCTGAAACACACCCGACAGCCGGTGCAAAGTGCTGGTGGCGGGGGGACGGGGACAGACCTACTGGGGTGACGATGGGGCAGGTGGACTTCGGATTTCATGCGGAGCAATGGGGGAGTCCTAGAGGGTGATCATGCATCAGTGACAGGGTCAGGTCTGGAGTTCTAAGAGCTCCCCTGGCTGTGGGAGGGACCAGGACGAGAGAGGCAGCAGAAGCAGCTGCAGAGAGGCTGGGCAGAGCTGCCCAGGGGAGGGAGGGTCAGTGGGCTCTGAGCGGAGGCCCCCTGGGCATGGCCCGTGGGTCCAAATCCTGGCTCTGCCCCGTAAGGGCTGAGTAGCCCTGGGCAGGTCACTTCTCCATCCTGGGTCTCAGGTTTCCCATCTCTAAAATGGGGATAATGATGCCACCTACCTATTCAGGGCACTTGAGAAGGTTAAATAAGGGCACAGAGGAACTTCTCACTCACGTCACCCTAATGAGGAGGGGGTCTTTGGGGATGGAGAGAAATGTGGACAATTTCAAGAGATGCTTAAGACCTGCACTGGGCCGAACTTGGTGTCGGTCTGGTTGTGGAGGGTGAGGGAGCCGTTGAGGATGATTCCGGGCTTCCTGCTTGACTGCTGACACGTGGTGTGTGGGCAAGAAGCACACTCTAGTCTAATCTTCCCTAGCTTCCTCCTCTGCACCCCAGGCTTGAGCCAAACAGAACGACGGCAGCCCCTCCGAACCAGCTGTGCATGTTCACACATCTGTCCTCCCTCTGCCCAAGACGATTGTAACCAGCAGGGTTTTAGAGGAAACTTGTCATCTCCTTAATACACATCGCAAATAGTTAACAATGTTGTGGCCATCGTGAAAATTATATTTAGAAGCAAGATGTATTCCTAAATTAAATGCTTAGTTCTGTAGGTTAAAGGAAGTAATGGCACTGCATTTGGAAGACATTAACTTATCCATTTTAATTAATATGCCATGTTTTTCACCATTTTCCCTTTTCCTTCCCTTCCTAACACCATTCACTTTATTAACTCCTTTTATGCTGTGAAAATAACTTGTAAAGCGTGCAAAAGGAGAACAAAAGTGAGAAGGTAAACGGGGGAGTAACAAAAGCATGTATCCAAAAAAGACTAAATTTGCACACGATAAATTGAACGGAAACTAGGAAATGAGAGGCCCAAACATCTGGAAGCGTTAAGTCAAAACCACTGCCCTTTCAGGACCTGTTGTTTTTTTCATTTACTAAATGACGTGCCTCCTTGCTTATTGCCTGGTGAAATCCCTCAACATCTATAATCCTGATGGCTGGATCTTCTCCTTTCTGACCTCAGTGTTGCCATCAGCGATCAGCTCCAAGCTGTAAATGAAATAATCTTCTTGCCAACAACACTCTCACTTTGTATATTCTTGGAAACCATGGACTTGTCCTAACAACATTTAAAAACTTTTGATTCCGGTATCCTAGTCATTTTTTAGCTTACTCTTTCAGTTGGCTAGAGTAGGTCTTCAAATGTTACATAATAAAAAAATCCTTGCCCTGGGTTTTCATGATTTTGTTTTCATTCCACCTGTTGGGTAAACCATCTGTCCACTTTTCAGCAGGTCCTTTAAGCCTTGTTTCTTTTGACACATCCATTCCGTGCAGCCGGAGGAGAGAAATGCACGTTGGAATAGCGAAGAGATGCCAAGAGGCCAACTTTACCTTCTAGGCCTTCACGGATATGGACCAAGGAGTAATGCCCTCCCAGGGCTCTCCTAGGGTGTGCCGGACACACAGGTGAGCAGCACACACTTGCACAGGCGTTTTGATAAATGCGTGGAAATTACTGACAGTCGTGTACTGTATTACGGCAGCAGCCTCCAGGTGGCGCTGTGAACTGAGCAAATCTGCAGGGAAGAACGGAGGGGGTACAACTTGTTACCCACAGCGCTTCCCCGTGATGTCAGGGAGCAAAGAAGGAGTGGGAGACAATGTCACCCAAGGAGCTGGTATCAGGGCTGACTCAGCTCTTTGCTCAGAGCTGTGGTTTGGACCTTGGCGTGCGCCTACCCTCACTCCAGACAGACTGAGGTTGGATTCAGGAGCCCTGCCCACTTCCAGAGAACCTGACCCAGGTCTCCCGGAGCTGACGGAGACTGGCTGTAGCTGGAGTCTGAGAGGTCTAAAGAAAGAGTCTGTGCTGGACCCTCCACCCAGGACACGGGCCAGAGGAAGCTGCGTTTCCATGAGTACAAGGGTTTCCTAGGCCACATGTGAACTTGGGGAAAGGTGGTCTAGGGTTATCTTAAAAGGAACTGCGCCCAAAGAGTCACCCGCCCTGAGAAAGCCAAGAGCCCTGCACTGAGGGGAAGGCCGTGAGCACCCCCAGCGGTGGGAGATGTGTGGCTGCCCCCAGGGAACCCAAAAGCTCCCAAAGAGAACGAGCTCTGGACTCCCCCATGCCCAGGGGATGACGGGTGTCAGAGACGAGAAGAGGACCCCTGTCATCGTCCCCCAGCACGTCCACAGACCCCCATGGACCTGCCCCCAGGTTAGAAGTGATGCCTAATACGGAGCCGGAAAGGAGCTGGGAAACCCACAAGGTTTATTCAGCCCCCTCCTCCACCGAGGTTTCGAAGCCAACACAGGCCTGAGCTGGGAGTGGGGGGCGGGGGGGGGCGCCCAGCTGAAACAGGGTGAGAGGCTGGAGGTTTTCAGTCGCTCATGCCTGAAACTGACCTGAGGACTTTGAATTATTTAAGACGAACCGAAGAGGCTACGGGTCGTGTTGAGAGGAGAATTCAGGGTGCATTCTTAGGGCCTGAGAAAAGAGGACACTCGCTTCCTGTTCATCCCCTAATGAATCCAGGCCAGACAGTAGAACCGGTCCAGGTGGCAACCTTCGGGGTTTATGTCTGTCCGCCTGCTGACGCGGAGCCCCTCAGTCCAGAGCCAGGTCCAGGGTCCAAGGTCAACTGCGTTTACTCCGGAGCCTGGCCACTCACAGCTCTGCGACCCTGGGCACGTTCCCCGAGCTCGGTGTGCCTCAGTTTCCTCCTGACGGTACGCTGACCATAATGAAAGCTACATGCGCTGGGGCTGCCGTGAGAATTCCGCGAGGGAGCGCGTTGAAGGACCAGTGTGTAGCATCGCGTCTGTTCAGGCGACGTGAGCTGTTGTTACATTTCGTCCCCCCCATCAGGTTTCAAGCTTTACGGTCACTGAATGATCTTTTGTCTTAAAATGATTCCACTGGTCTCAGGTGAGAGCGTGGGTGCTATTTCTGTCAAAGTGGGTCGACCAGGCAGTTTCTATCTACAGGGTCACTCGTGTGACCCCACTTTTATTTGAGCTACAACAAAAATATGTGGTTTCAAATTTCAAAGCCAACAGTTGTGCGAGTGAAACAGCCTAGAGAAAATAATAAAGCCATTATTAAAAATGAAATCAAACCTAAGGTTGATAGGAGAAAAACAGCCGGTCACATCTCAATCTGGGATGGAGTCTTGACTTGGACGTCATTCTCCAAGGTCATTTAGAAAACGCGTTCACAGGCTTCACTTTCATCTGTAAGTAAGTCCATTCTAAAAAGAAATGTCATGGGTTTCTTTTAAAATGCCCTACTCTTATTTAAGACAATTACAGGTAAAATGAAATCGAGAATCAGAAAAAAAAAAAAATCACATTTCTGGTTCAACAGTCTTCCGTGGCCAAAGGCAGAGAAAGTTTTGCTATAACAGGGCCACCAGCTTGTGTCGATGTTGGGGAGCCCTGCCCTGCACCCGAGATCTCAGAAGCTGGCACCAAAAATCGTTTGGAAATACGAGGCTTGCTTGATGGACGTAACGACAAGTAATTAAAAGCAGGGTGACTAGAATTCCTAATAACAGAATTCCAGTAGGACTGCTTGCTTTGTCCACACAAACATAAAGTGATCCCATTACGGCCTCTTTGTCCTCTCCTGGAGCGGGCTTCACTCGGCTCTGTGTTCGGCTTGTGAGAACGTGCAAGGCACGGCCAAACTCTAGTGAGAGCCCCGGCCCTTCGCACAGGCTAGCCCCTTCAGGTCCCAGCCTTTGGGAGAACTGCTAGTTAACATGAGGCTAAGAGTTAGCTGGCTCCCCAGTTAGGTTGACCAGGAGCGCACTTTCTAGCAGCAGCAATGACATCTCAGCAAACTCGAGGACTGTGAACGTTAGTAGCAGCTCATGGAGACACCATGCAGGGCTCACATGCCCCATCTCATCCATCCTCACAGTTACTCCCTTACGAGGCGTCTGATCCCCCTGTACCAGCAAGAGGGTGAGTAGTTGCGGGTCTACGTGGATCTGGGGACGCGGCATCTGGTTGTCCCACTGACGTGGGTTGTAAGCACCCGCAATTTGCATTTTTCTTTGGCTGTGTAAACTTGTACATACTCTACGGCAGCCGTAGCAGGGTGGCAATATAGACAGAACCTTTATTTGTGAAAATATTTTCAATTTCTAGTGAAATAAGTATGTATTAAATGTGTGTGAATACGTGTGTAAATACATATGTGTGTAAATACTCTGAAATAAATATGTGTTAAAACGGTGACACGGGCTTCCCTGGTGGCGCAGTGGTTGAGAGTCTGCCTGCCGATGCGGGGGACGCGGGTTCGTGCCCCGGTCCGGGAGGATCCCACATGCCGCGGAGCGGCTGGGTCTGTGAGTCATGGCCGCTGAGCCTGCGCGTCCGGAGCCTGTGCTCCGCAACGGGAGAGGCCACAACAGTGAGAGGCCCGCGTACCGCAAAAAAAAAAAAAAAAAAGGTGACACATATCAACTTGAAAGAAGGAAAAATAAAGCAGCATTTTGGGGCGAGTGGACCCAGTTCACTGGGAGTGTATTAGGAAAACTGCTATTTAAATTATGTTTAAAAATTTACCTGTTCATAATGACCATTTCCTGTTAAGCACGTATGATGTACTAAATGCACAGAGAACTGTACTAATGCAGTTTAAAGGTTTTACGATTCAATCCCACCAACATCTCTAAAGCAAGTGTTATTATCCCCACTTTACAGATGAGGAAAGTCATGTCCAAAGACACCAACAAAGTTGTCTAAGATACTCGGCTACCAGGTGGCTGAGGGCTCCACAACCTCACCTGCATACCTACCCCTTGGTCCACCTCTCCATGTCACACCCTCATTCCAGCTCTTAAAAAGATGGGTGTGATGTAGTTCTAAATGGTTTACATTTAAATAATGCAAGTGCCTTTCCATTAGGAAGACACACTAATTGTAGTTTAGTCCCGAAGCTCGAAGATCTACTCTCTTGGCCATTCACTGCTGAGTACCGGCTTCCCCTAGCAGGAAGAGGAGGACAAGAAATCGCTTAAACTTTTTCTTACATCAGATAATCATGTTACTTGCTTACAGCTTACATGCATAAGCAGAGAAGGTGAAATGTTTATCAACTCAGTTCCATTAATTTAATTTTCTTTCTTGACACCAGTGACTGCAGATCCATCAAAGATATGAAAATCATGAGAGATTAAGAACAACAAGCAACAGAGACTGTGTTTCATTCTGTCTGCAACACGGAGCATGTGGAGAGTAGGGAGAACTCACTTTTTACTGCCGTTTCTACTAAAGCCCCCAGCCGTGTACACAGTAGGCGCTCACTAAAATGGGCACCCAGCTGAACTAAAATGTAAAACCCTCAGCAGACTACCTAGCACGTTATTTTAGATAATAAAAGCTCAATGATGCCCTCAGATAAAAAACCCAGGAAGCGAACCTCAGGATGCACTGTTTATAAATTTGAAACAACACTCCAAGTGCCTCCTTTTGATTGGAGAGCTTGGGGCACCGGCCCACAAACGCACAGAAACTGTTTATTCACAGCTTAACGAACACATTAGCCCTGAACTGTGCTTAGAACACAAATCCGGTCCAAAGGGAAATCAATACAAGGTAGAATTTTAAAGCAGAACCAGTAGGTTCTGCTTTTAAAAAAAAAGAATGAATACTGTTTATGTTATTTGCCAAGCAACACCTAGAATTATTTTCCATCTCTGGAATCAATCAGTGCTGGAGAAGTTCAGCAGTTTTTAAACAACGAGTTCCTTTTGCCTCAAGTGTACTCAGAAAAGACAAACAGTATTTTTTCACTTTTAAGAATTCAGACTGAATTCTGGGACAGTTCAAAGTAAGACAGGCAAGTCTGTAGACACCTATTTTTGCAGCACATATTTTAATCTTTAGCACTTGACACGTCTCACATAAACCATTTTCAAGCCTAGAACAGCATGAGGTAAGGCTTCACCACAGTCTACATTGGAAATGTCATTCTGGGGTCCAAGCGACAAGGAGCTCGGGAGTGGCTGATACGGTCACTGCACCTTGCCCAGGCCCGTTCCAGCTCTGCTCCAAGCTGGCCGGAGCGAGAGCAGTGGGCAGGTGGCCAAACTGCTATGCTCTGCGGCCACAGGCCCTCCCCTGCCTGTCCATCCTCCCCTGCCCCCAGGGCCCCCTCCTCCCGGGCACGCTCTCTGATGCCGGCACCTCCTTATTCTGCTCCCCGCCCTGGCATCCCCCAGCCCTCCTTTGCCTGGCCTGGACCAGTCCCCAAACGCACTGCGAAGTCTTTTCTGACCTCTTGTTCTGTGTCCCATCCCTCCTCCCTGGCACTGCCCTTCCCCCAGCCACGGACACCTGGTCAGCCCAGCGTAGCACCGGACCCTGCGGGACAGCAGAGCTCAGGATCTCTTGTAGGGATCCTTGTCTGACATGTATCCAGCACAGGATGTGTGTTTGCCCCAATGCAAAAGAATAAAAAGCTAAAACTATCACAAAGGCTTTGCTTACTTCCCCACCTTCCTAGTCCCGCTGCCAAAACAAATAAACAAACAAAGCCAGCTCACTGAGGAGTCTAAGGATGATAATAAAAAGCCTATATTAAAAGTAATCTTGATAAATACTTTAAAAGCTACAGACACTGCTGGATGGACAAAGCAAGTCTTTCTTGAGATCTGAGAACTCTGCCTTCCATATTCCTTCCAACACAATGCATTTTGCCCTATTCCTTCATGCTTTTCTTTTAAAATGAAACCATCTGCCTCTATCTTTTTTTTTTTTTTTTTGGTACGCGGGCCTCTCACTGTTGTGGCCTCTCCAGTTGCGGAGCACAGGCTCCGGACGCGCAGGCTCAGCGGCCATGGCTCACGGGCCCAGCCGCTCCGCGGCATGTGGGATCTTCCCGGACCGGGGCACAAACCCGTGTCCCCTGCATCGGCAGGTGGACTCTCAAGCACTGTGCCACCAGGGAAGCCCCTCTGCCTCTATCTTGATTAACTGTTTCTCATTCCTGTTTACTAAAAAAAAAAAAAAATGACTCATCCAAAGTGAAAAAAGGGAGTTGGCTTTTAGAAATAGTTTTGTTTTTTCTGAGTCTCTATCATTGTTTAAATTTGTTTAGTGAGAAATGAAATTTTCTAGTATTTTTTAACAAGAAAGAGGATTATTTTGCTTGGGGCGAAAGGTAGTTGTTGATGTTTACAGCTTCCTGGTATCTGAAGCTTTTGATTCTGGGCGCATCACTTAACGGCTCAGGAGAGAAATGCAACGGCAACCATTTATGGGGACTCTTCCTTCTGCAACACCTCCGGCCAGATGGAATGGACACCTTAGAATCAACAAGTATCACCTGTCCCACTTAGCAGATGGGGAAACTGAGGCTCGGAAGGTTTAAGTGAGTTGCCTGAAGCTGGTCAGTTGAAGGAGCAACCCCAGGTCCGTCTGTTTTCTAAACCTGTGCCCAGGAACAGCCCCCAACACGCCTGGAAACATCCCAGGTACAGCCCCCAACAGGCCTGGAAACGTCCCAGGTACAGCCCTCAACAAGCCTGGAAACGTCCCAGGTACAGCCCTCAACACGTCTGGAAATGTCCCAAGAACAGCCCTCAACAGGCCTGGAAACGTTCCAGGTACAGCCCTCAACAGGCCTGGAAACGTCCCAGGTACGGCCCCCAACAGGCCTGGAAATGTCCCAGGAACAGCCCTCAACAGGCATGGAAACGTCCCAGGTACAGCCCTCAACAGTCATGGAAACGTCCCAGGAACAGCCCTCAACAGGCGTGGAAACGTCCCAGGAACAGCCCTCAACAGTCATGGAAACGTCCCAGGAACAGCCCTCAACAGGCATGGAAACGTCCCAGGTACAGCCCTCAACAGTCATGGAAACGTCCCAGGAACAGCCCTCAACAGGCGTGGAAATGTCCCAGGTACAGTCCTCAACAGTCATGGAAACGTCCCAGGAACAGCCCTCAACAGTCGTGGAAACGTCTCAGGTACAGCCCTCAACAGGCCTGGAAGCGTCCCAGGTACAGCCCTCAAAAGTCATGGAAACGTCCCAGGTACGGCCCTCAAAAGTCATGGACACGTCCCAGGAACAGCCCTCAACAGGCATGGAGACATCCCAGGTACAGCCCTCAAAAGTCATGGAAACGTCCCAGGAACATCCCTCAACAGGCATGGCAACGTCCCAGGAACAGCCCTCAACAGTCATGGAAATGTCCCAGGAACAGCCGTCAACAGGCCTGGAAGCGTCCCGGGCTCCCGGGGTGAGAGGGGCTGCATCTGGATGGGAGCCTGGAAGGAAGGGAGGAAAGAACGTTAGCTGGCGCCCCCCTCCCCACGCCTAACCCGGAGGCTGCCAGGCCTTAGGCTGCTTCCAGAACAAAGCCTCTTTCCTGCTGTGGTGGCAGAATCTGTGTGCCCACTACCAGAGAAGCTGGAGTTCGCAGTACTTGCTGTGCCAGAGGAGAAGGCAGTGAGGGGGAGTTAAGAGGCGGGAAGATGCTCTGGAAACTCTGCGGGGAGACGGCATTCCTAAAATATAAAGAATCGGCCCACGAAATCCAATTTGTGGCAGTGACAATAAAAGCCCTTTGGTAAGATTCTCTGAGGAGCTCTCAAAATTTCACTGCTCCTTCTGTGGGAGGAAATAATTATTCTAATATCTTGCTAAGGAAATTAGAATATCTTCTGAACAACAGAAAAATAACAATCTAGCTGTCACCTGATTCGATAAAAATCAGACTTCCCTGCACTTGCCTGGGGGATTGGGCCTGAATCCTCCAGGCCACGGAGACCCACGCAATACGACAAAGACCCCTTCCTGTGATCCCCCACCCTCAAGGGACAGACCCCCAAGGAGGCATGTTTATACAGACCGAAGATCTAGAATGCACAAAGCACCAGTTATGTATCTGTGCCTTCAGAAAATAATGTTTCCCGAGCATCTACTCATGCCAGGCAGTGAACACAATGAACACCACATGGATGGAGCTCACAACTATGGCATAAGTCAATGCAATTTGCAGCATGATAAGTCCAGGTGCTATAAAGGGGAGAACCAAGATTCAGCAAGGTGGAAACCACTGCTGATTTCAGTAGCGGGGACAAGGGCTGCTGGTGTGTCCCAGGAGCTTTGAGAGGAGGCGAGGGCTGGAGATGTCAGCAGGATGAACGCAGGGGGTTTTCTTTAAGACGGTAGAACGACAGCACATTTGTATGTT